CAGCTGCTGAGACCTAATGTTAGGATCTGGTAAGTCCTGAACGTTTATTTTATGTTTATTTATTTTCTTAAAGTTTTTGGAATTAATTTGATGCTCGATATATTCGTCAGTTTTTAGTAGTTTGATTTTATACCTGATTTATAAAAAGTTTTCACCAAATTGTAGAGTACGCTTGATTAAATTTTGAGTATATTTCTATCTATTTTTATGGGCATTATAAGTAAGAAAATAAAAGGTTTTTGTTGAATTTTTCATTCTTTAAGGATTTGATACTTATACAATTGGGCTTTTTGGAGCTATCCCTTGATCATTATTCAAACTTCTTTCATCATAGTGATCTACACATATTTTTTTATTTATTAACTAATTTTTCATAATTTTTGGTGTCCTATATTTTAATATGTAAATAGATTTATATAAGTTATAATTATATATATATATAAATATATATGATTCTACATTGAACAATAGCAATACAAAAGTTATTTCAGGACTGCAAAGACAAACATTACAAGACCACCATTTCTAAAATTCCTCATGACCAATAGAAAAGCTATAGTCATCATTCAGGTCACCGCACGTGGAGATATCAAATCTTCAAACCATTCATGAGTTAGATATGATAGGGCTCATTTCTTAGCCGGAGGACCTTTAAATCTATTGGTGGATTGAAGCCATCTTATCACACTGTGCCAAATTTCAAGTTTTGATTCAAGATTTTGTGATATATCATTAAAAAGAAGGGAAATAGTAGAGTATATGGCTGCTACATATTTTGGTCAAAAGCTGCCTAATTAAGAAGTGGAAGTTGGGGGAAGTAGTTCAATCTATAAGAAGCCATCACATCTACTTGCTTTATATAATTTGAAGGTTTCATATCTCTAACTAGAATAGCTATCCTAGCTATTGCTTTTATATTGGTCATAAGCAATTTGAAAGACGCCGGTATTGTAATGTCTGCCATTGCAGTCGTGCAAAGGACTTATGTTATGCTCGTGTATGACGAAGAATCAAACACGATTGAGTGTTCCATAGAAATAAGACTTTGAGAAAGAGACTTTATAAATATGTAATCGTTCAATAACATCCTTAATCACTGAACATTTTATTTTTCTCTAGCCGTTGAATGACCATTTTGTATAATATGATAACCAAGTTTGGTTATTTTGACATACTCCGAACGAAGAGCTACATTCGGATTGTAATAGTTAAGAATATTCCGCTGTGTTATAAGAATACTCCATCTACGCTATTCGTAAAAAGACAAAGTGTTATTCGAGTATTATATAGTGTTATTCGATTATTTTGCGAATATTCCTCACCGTCACTTGTTATTCCCAAATCAAGTAACGCGGTTATAGTGTTATTCGATTATTTTGCGAATATTCCTCAGCGTCACTTGTTATTCCCAAATCAAGTAATGCGGTGGAGTATTTCAATAACA